GGTTAGACAGCTTCACACTAAAATGTGTTGCTTTTATTGTTTCTCCAAGGATAAAAATAATAAAACAATTACACCATTGAGCCTTGATCACAACTTTCAGCATATCCAGACCCAAAAGTGTGGTACATTTGCTGCAAAAACAGAATGCACAAAATAGCCTTTTGCTGATGAAAGTCTAAGCAGCATTACTACTACAGTTAAGAAAATTAGACAAAAATGATAAACAATAACGTGGGAATCATATTCAAATGCTTAATTACTGATGTTGAAATCAATTTCTTTGATCTAATAATAAAAGACATTAATGTCAACCTGCCCTCATTAAAGACAATCACCAGCTAAACTACACATAGTCACATACATCCATTGCCAACTAATGCTGCAAATCTATATTCTAGCCAGAAGATCAAAAGCTATATACTATACATGTGATAAGAGGATCACAAAAACCAATTTACTCACAAGAAATATCGTAATAAAACCACGACCAATACATCGGATTTTTAGTTTTTTCAAAGCCACTATTCTCCTTTCGTTACCTCTCGACAAGTTACAAGATTTGGAAAAAGAAAAAAAACAGTAAAAATTTAACAACCCAACTGTAATGTGACATTAATGCTTCACTTATCTGCACAAAACCAACTGTATATGAAGGTCCACATAGAAGAAGAATTACAGGATCAGGTGAGAAAAAACCTAATGAACTTACGAAGTCTTTAAGGGCTTCGTCAATAACTTTCTCTTCACAAATCGGCCATTCTTGAATCGTTAATACCTGCTATTACTACATGCATGTGATAGTGATCTCAAGCTATAATAAGCCAACTTAGATCAAATCAGGATTTGTTTTGGGTCATTAATTCAAAATCCTAATTCCTAAATGAACGCCAAACATCACGTAAAAATGAAACATTCTCATGAACAAAGTTTTACGACGATCAAACAAAAGATTCATTCATCATCAAAAGCATAAGTTCACGTCAAAGATAAATTCAATGCCCGAATTCAATTATCGGACAAACATGTGGCTCCTCATAAGTCATAACAAAGAAAATAGTTAACTCAGCGGGTGCATGACAATTAACGAGATCAAGAATAGTTCACTAGTTATATATAGGGCAATAAATGTCGCTAACCATGCAACTATTTTAAGCGAAAAGCTTCATTCAATGAAAAATCTACATAAAAGTTCCCAATAAACCAAACTATATAATGCTATCTTTATTCAAACTCTGTTCAGATGACACACGTCCGTCCAACCAGAAAGCTGTTCGTTCTATCAGTCATTAATTCTACACAACCACAAAAACTAGAGCAAAGTATAACATATCCCATGAAAATGAAAAAAAAAAAGGCTCATTCGTCGTTCGATGCACCCACCAAACATGAGAACTCGATCGCGAATCTCATTCATACCCGCACAAATACAATATAATGGGGGCAAACTGAAGACATAATAGGATCATATAAGGAAACAATTATACGAATCAAATATGGAAAAGGGGAAAAAATAATAGAATTCATCCTAACCGGACATTTTTTTATCGAAAATTGTTCACTGCGCGCTCTTTTGCCCTTTATAGTAAGAAAGGTACCACCGGACAAATTTCTTCAAGCCCGTCTGCAAATCAGTCGTCGGCTTATAACCGAGCTCCCTCTGAGCCAAGCTAATATTAGCGTGCGTAAACTGAACATCACCATTCCTAGGCAGCTTCATAACCATCCTTTTCGCCTTCACTTTAAGCAAACGCTCCAAAATGCTCACAAGATCCGAGACGGGCACAGGAGAAGTATTCCCCAAATTATACACTCTCAGTTGAGCCGTGCCTTTCTTCTTCCCCCCACTGCCCGTACTCTTTTCCGATGTATCCAAAGCGCCCAAACAGCCCTTTACAATATCGTCAATGTACGTGAAGTCCCTAGCCACAGTACCATGATTAGCAGCCTCAAAGATTGGTATAGACTTCCCTTTCAAGATATCTTTGGTGAAGAAGAAGTAAGCCATGTCGGGCCTTCCCCAAGGCCCGTATACCGTGAAGAACCTCAGCCCCGTTAAGGAAAGCCCATATATGTGGTTATAAGTGTGAGCAATCTCCTCACCGGCTTTTTTAGTCGCGGCGTACAAGCTCGCCGGCTGATCAGTTCTATCCCTCTCGGAAAATGGTACCTTTGTGTTCAGACCGTAAACCGAGCTGCTTGAAGCCCAAACAATGGCGGGCTGAGGGTTAACGCCCTTGCAAACCTCGAGCAGGTTAACAAATCCCGCAATATTGCTGTGCACGTACGAACCGGGGTTTTCCATGGCGTACCTAACGCCGGCCTGCGCTGCTAAATGCATGACGTGAGTGAAGGGGACGATATCAAAGAGCCTTTTCAGCAATTTCGCGTCATTTATGTCGCCCTCTACGATGTAAACCCCTGTGCGCTCGAGGAGGGCCTGCCTGGCCCGCTTGAGAGACGGATCGTAATAGTGGTTGAAAGAATCGAGGCCCAGAACGCCGTCGCCCCGGCGCTTGAGGGCGGCGGAGACGTGGGTGCCGACGAAACCGGCGGCCCCGGTCACCAGGACGGAAATCCCATTGCTTGAACGGATTTTGGCGGAGTCCCGAACCTTCTTCTCGAATTCTGGGCCGCCGTAGAAGCTGGTCCGGAGGGATCTTCTAGAGAGATCCGACGGCCCGGAGGAGGAGGAGGAGGAGGCGGCGGCGGAGGACGGCGGGGATCTGTAGAAGAAGACGAAGATCAAGCCCAGGAACACGAGGGACCAGAAAGTGAGTTTGGCCAGCGAGGAATGCAGCCGGAGGCGGTGG